AGTTTTTTCCTCCCAGGTAGGGAAAAACCTATTTCTTCCCTTCTGTGTCTTTCCTGTGTGTCTCTTTCACTACTCACTGAAAACACTTCTGCTCACCAGATGTGTGGAGGCTTTCCCCCACCCCAGCAAGCAATTCTCAGACACAAGCAGGGTGTCTAAGAATTCAACTTAATTCTGACTTGATCTACCTGGAGATAGCATCAAATCCTACAGCTCTTACAAGACTGCCTCCTCCCCCAGTTCATATGCCAGTCAGTTATCACCTGTGCTTCTGACCAACCAGTTATGGATCAGAGCTTCCAATGACCCCCTCCTCCTTGGGTTCAATTAACTTGCTTGAGCGGCTCACAGAACTCAGGGGAACATTTGCTTATGCCTGTCAGTTCATTAAAGGCTATACAGATGAACAGCAGGATGAAGAGATACATAGGGCAAGGTCTGGTAGAGTCCTGAGCAGGAGTTTCTGTCTCCACGGAGTTGGGTGCGTCACCCTCCCAGTGTGGATGTATTCACCAGCATGAAAGCTCTCTCAACCCACTTCTACTGAGATTTTATGGAGGTTTCCTCATGTAGGCATGATCAATTATTAACTCAGTTTTTAGCCCCTCTCTCCTCTCTGGAGAATGAGGGGTAGGGCTGGAAATTTAAAACTTCTAATCATGGGCTTGGTCTTTCTGGTGACCAGCCCCTATCTAGGAGCCCATCCAGAGTTGACTCAAAAGAACAAACGATGCTCCTCCCTCTCTTATCACTCAGGAATTTACAACTTTTTTAGGAGCCCTGTGTCAGGGATGGGATCAAAGATAAATATTAGAATAAGATATGTTGCTGGTATTCTTATCACTTAGGAAATGACAAGGGTTTTAGGAGCTTTATGCCAGGAATTGGGGTCAGAGACCAATATATATTTTCTGTTATCTCACAAATGTATATATATCGGGACCACCTCGTTAAACATGCTAGAGAGCAGCATTCACACAGTACTCTATTTAATTGGTGACCTCTGGAGATATTAACTCCAGGCTACAATGTAAATGGTTCCCAGTAGAGTTGCATCAGGTAATAGCCCTGGAAAGATCACCTTCCTACCCTTGACTCCTAACCCTTCAGTCCACTTCCATACTCCCCCTCATCCTCCCTTCTTGGTCAGGCAGTCAGATGTTATCCATTTCTATGTATTCTTTGTAATTTTTTGCATGTATGAGCAATTAAGTTTGTACGTCCTTTTTGTTCTCTTTTCACTTTTTTTAACTGTGCTTCTTTAACTTAATATATCTTAGAGATATTTCATTTAACTACATATTCTTTTTAAAGTTGCACAGTAGTAGTTGATTATATAAATGTACCATAATTTATTTAGTGCTTATGCATGTTTGGTATGTCCTGGTTGATATTTAAGGTATCCACAATATTTTGCTTTTGCGTAAGTGTGAGTATATAAGAAACATTCCTAGAAGTAGAATTGCCGGGTCCAAGTATGTACTCAATAGATATTACCATATTGTCTCAAATAGAGGTTATGACAATTTATATTTCTACCACAATTTATGAGAGTGTTCTTTCTCTCACATCCTTATCAAAGCAGTATATAATCAAACTTTGGAACTTTGCCAATTTGATAGGTGAAAAGTGGTACTCCACTAGTATTTTTAAAAAATATTTATTTATTTATTTGGTTGTGCCAGGTCTTAGTTGCAGCCCATGAGCTCCTTAGTTGCGGCAGGCACGCTCCTTAGTTGTGGCACGTGGGCGCCTTAGTTGTGGCATGTGAACTCAGTTGCGGCATGTGGGATCTAGTTCCCTGACCAGGGATCAAACCTGGGCCCCCTGCCTTAGGAGCGTGGAGTGTTAACCACTGCACCACCAGGGAAGTTCCAATCCAGTAGTATTTTAATGTGCCTTTTTAACTGTTTCTCACATCCAATATAATAGATTTCAGTCCAGGTTGTTCATTAGAATGGTCAATCTTTTTTTTTTTTTTTTTTTTTTGGCGGTGCCACGCTGCATGTGGGATCTTAGTTCCCCGACCGGGGATTGAACTCACACCCCCTGCAATGGAAGCGCGGAGTCTTAACCTCTGGACCACTGGGGAAGTCCCAGAATGGTCAATCTTAACATGAACAATTTCATATGTTGAAGGTTCGCTCTTCGTCAGGCAGAATGTGTTAGAGTTCTTATTGGAAAAAAGAACTTACATTTTTATCTCACTATTAAAAGTTCCTTTTTCAAGGAAGCACCTGATAATTATTTGAGTAAGCATTGTTAATTATTTTAGTCATATGTATTAAAATGTAATTTTCACCAGCAAAATTAAATTCAAATATTATTTTATGATAAATTCAAAATATTTTTAAGTAGATCTTTTTTTAAATACCATGTGGTTTTTATTTAAGTCATGTTGACAATTATTCAAAACCTTGGCCCGCCAATGTGTTTACATGGTTCATTGAGAAGAAACCTAAAGTATGAAGTAGTGGCAATTTTATTTTCATAGTATCTGTGGAAGGGACAATTATAATTTATGTAGTAGATAGAAGAAATAAAGGAGAATGTAAAACATTATTTTATGAACAAAATATCAAGTATTTTCTTAACGTGCTTAAATTGAATGATATTCTTAAATAGTTTATTTTATATTCATCTGCTGAACTAAACAAGATTGCTCACTTTCTAGGGTTGACTCATCAAGATTTTTTTTTTCCAGGTTGAATTTCAGGCAGGATCTGAAGGCCAACTTCTTCCTCAGCATTATCTAAATGATCTTGATAGTGCTCTAATCCCTGTGATCCACGGTGGGACCTCCAACTCTACTAGTTTACCATTAGAAATAGAATTAGTATTTTTTATTATTGAAAATCTTTTTTAGTGAAAGGACATGAGTCGTATTATATATTGCAAACTGATTTGTTAAAACTAACTCCAGCACTAAAGCTGAAATGCCACAGACACTAAAAGTAAATATGTTTGATGTTTGAAACATGTAAGCTTTGCTTTTTAGGCAGGAATGATCTTTTAAAAATCATTAGCACAATATTTAAATCTCCTAAAATTTAAGAGATCCACAGTTTTTGAAGCTTTACACTTTTCAAGTACTGAAAAAGACAAGGATTTCTTCTGTCTTTAAAAAATTTGAAGCATTTAACTGTGTTATTTAAATGCTAAGCCAAAGTACCTGCACTTAGGTATACCTCTTTATGCCAAGAATGATTTTAATGAAGGCTCTTTTCAGATGTAAGCTTATGAAGGAACTACCTTTTTTGTTTATATGCCAGTTAAATTACTGGTTTCTAAAGTCTGTTAAAAATGTATTTCAATGGCACAGACCAGTTTCCAGATCTTAGACTTACATGGTAATTCTTTGAATAAGGCAGATAACTTATTTGTATAATTGGAGTGGAGACCTACCTCCATGATTAGATAAACTGATTGTCTGCATTAAAATCAGAATTTTGCCTTTTTTCTTTTCAAATTATTATTTTATATATACATATATGGTTTTCTCTTTATTAAATGGGTATTCTTAAGGTAATTGTGGGTGCTTCAGGATTTTGTGCTTCTATAATTAAGTATATTGTTTTTATAGCAAGAACATGTGATTTGGTATGTGTTTTATAAATCTTTAATAATTTATAAATAGGTAATATTTTTGTATGGCAGTGCATTATTTTTCCTCCTTTCCTTCCAAAGTATACCACTGTATATACCACTTCTAAGAGTGACTGACGACAGGCCAGATGACCCTTGAAGTAGTCATTATGTAGCAATAAATGAAGCCTGAAACAGGTGTTTTTTTAACTTCTCCTTTAAACCTTAAAAGTTTCTTGGCAAGTCTACATATTTTCATTGACACCAATGTATTAAGTATAAATTTTAATGAACTACTTACTTTTGCATATTTTAAATTCTTTATATGGTAGTTATTTTTTATAACAGGATATTAACATAAGTTAAATTCTATGTATTTGAAACTGTTACAGAACTTTCTTCTTTACTTCAAGTAGAAAAAAATTTTTAAAGTACGTTGTGTTAAAAAAAGTAATGGTCATATTTTAGTTAATCCTGTCATTTAAGTTATTTAAAATAATAATCATTATTTTAATGCTTTTTTTATTCTAATGTGGAATATATATGTTTTTGTATCAAAAACACTCCTGTGTCTCAAGAAAAAGAAACTACACTAAATAGCCCTGTTTTAAGAAAGTATTTATGAAGCATCTCAAGCTGAAGATGAAGTCAGGGTTATAACTCAGGTTCTTAGGTCTCAGGCTAGGAAAAAACTGAGAATTTGAATCAGTTTGGTCATATGATTCCTACTGAATCACATCTGTAGTACTAGCCAAAGACACAGCATGGAGGAAAATATCAGTCTTTTGGAAGTAACTACTTCATAAACAATGTAAAATGTTGCAGACATTAAATAAAATTAAGCAACATGATGTAATAACTTGTGAAATTTGTTGACATCATAAGCAACTGCATATCTAACTCAATTTGTTTTCTTTATATTTTTGTTTATTTTGCAGTATAAGTTAAGGGCACAATCTATGAATACTGAAGTTACTTTAAAATAACCAGAGGTAGAGGACTTTTCCCATGATGGGATAGCTTTGGATTTGTTTCCCTAAAGTCTCTACATTTAATGAAAATTGGAGTTACTGTGCCTTTGGAGGCACATTTTAAAGTATTCTTTGTAGATGTGCGATATGTTTCTGAATGCATTTGGTCGTGTTCTTCCCATTGATAATTTAAAATTTTAATTTTTTTAAAGGTGAAGAAATAGAATGGTTCTTTGTACTCAGTCTGCAATGATCTATTTTTGGTCTATGCCTTTTAAGAATACTGTCTTTCCAGAATTTTGAAATATTAAGTAAAATTTAGCCCATTTGCTTTTGCAGCAATCCAGCAGACTTAGTATATGCATATATGCTTGCTATATGCAGAGCACTTTAGTAGGCTTCATTGATTGAAAGATGAGTAAAATAGTTCTTTCCCTCTTGGAGATGAATGTGTGAAGCAGATAATTAACAAAGTAAAAGTGATTGCTAAAATAGAGATATGACTTCTGAGTAGCTGGTTGGAAAACAATTCAGGAGGATAGCCATACCAATAATGAGAAGGTGTGGGCGTTAAACTTGTCTAGGCAAGAGCTGAAAATCTGAAGAGTCAGTAATATGTCAAAACATTCAACTTTCCCTTTTAAGGCAATTTACTTTAAGGAGTCTTCTGTGTTGTGTGAATATCTTACCTTATTTAATCATAAAAGTCATAATCATAAAAATCATTATTTAATCATAAAAGTAGTAGCCTGACTATGGTGTCTCAATTGCCTAAGTTTATAACAGCCTAGATTTAAATATTGTTTTATAAGTAAAGAATACAACTCTTCTTTTTTTAATAGTAATATAACTTTGATAACTTGACTCAAATTTTAAAAGAAAATATCTTGAAATAAACCAGAAACCTCTAAACAGTCCTAGGTTTTAATTTTTTTCTTTGTGATTAAAAAAAATGCTTCATATGTGTAATATATAAACATTCAAAAATCAGAAAGAAATGTTAAAAACTTAATATAAGTCTTACTGCCCACCTTGTATGCACCTACTTTGTTCTTCTCACTCTCCAATCTCAGTAAGAAGTGATTTTTATTATTGTGTATCTTTCCAAGGTTTAGGTGCAGTAGCAGCAAATATATTTTTATTATCTCCCCTCATTTTTTATACAAAATATAGTGTGCTGTTTACACTGAAGAACACAGTGTCATCTCCTCAATTACTTTGATTTATGTGGCTTCTATTTAGAATCTTAAAGTTTTCACTGCTTCTCCAACCACTGTGTAATTGATAAAAGCAATCTTAATGGCAGAAAAGCAAGAAGAAAATCCATTACTGGAATTGTGACCATATGTTTCCATAGGAGGACTGTTTTTCTCATAACAATTTTTTATGAAAATACTTGGAATGTTATTTTTTTATTTGAGCTATATTTAAAACCTTTATTTTTTTTCCTACCCAACACTAAGCCTCACCATCTAAATTTATCTTTTACCACTTAATTGACATTGGTGTTCTTTTTGTTTTGTTTTTTTACATCAGATTTTTAGTAGTTTTAAATCTTCTCTTTATATTCTGTGTTTTAGATTTAGCTTGGAATGATACACAATTTAATATTTAACACCTTTTGGGAAACATTTTCTGAATTTGCATTGATAAAAATTACAGCCATATTTTCATGCTTTTTGCAAATGAAGAAATAGGTCTAATTCAAGAGCTTTATTATGAACCTCCAAATATAGTAAAGTTTTTTTTTCTTTCTTTTTTTGTTCTTTTGGTAAAATAAGGTGCTCGCCAGCTTCCAAGATAGCCCACAATGATCCCTGCCTCTTGGTTATTCACACCCTTGTGTAGTCACCTCCCACACTGTACCACTTTGTGACCAACAGAATATGGAAGAAGGGATGGGATGTCATTTCCAATATTATGTTATAAAAAGTTCTATGGCTGCCATCTTTGGTGTATTTCTCCCCACTCACTCTCTTCATTTCATCCCTCTCTCCCCACCTCTCCCTCCCTGTCTGCCAGTCTCCTTCTCTTTCTATTGAGTCACTCATTCTTGGGGAAGCCAGCTGCCAGGCAAGTGGAAGGGGATCCTCCAACCCAGTCAAGCCTTCAGACTGCAGCCCCAGCCACAGTTTCACTGTAGCCTCATGAGAATCACCCAACTAAGCCTTTCTCAGATTTCTGAATCTCAGATATAAATGTCTGTTGTTTTAAGCTGCTAAATTTTCTGGTGGTTTATTACATGAAGCAACTAATATTAGCTAACTAAAACAAGATACCTATATCTTAGAGCAGCTATAACTACAAATTTCTAAAAAAAAAAATAAAAAGATTAATTGCTCTGACAAAATTAAGCATAGTTCTTATCAACATTTATGGATTCCATTCCACAAGTAGTATGTGCTAAGTACAGGGAATACCAAGAGAAAGAGTAGGGTTTGGCCATGTAGGAACAAAGATGCAATTGTGGGAAACTTCCTGTTTCTGGAAGTTGCATGTTAGGATATTTAGAGCTATGCCATTGATAAAAACAACCAAAGCTGATTAAAATCCAAAAAGCATCTTAAAACATCAAAGAGATTTTTAAGACAGTATGGAACACCCAGTCCAAAAGTAAAGAGAAGTGAGCATGGGGCCATAATATGACAGCCTAATGGGGTAAGGGGGACAGATATCAAAGTTCAAGGCCCACACAAGATGGTGAATCTAACAGGAATTGTGAATCTAACAGAAGAACTTCTCCACAGTAGGCTGAGACTCCCTCAAAGGGTTTCGGCCTTTAGATGAGGATGAATCAGAAATATAAATTATGTAAAATTGTAGCCAAGTTTAGAATTGCCTACATCACCCAAAGACTCTGAAGCATTTAACTTGCTTTAAGGTGGTCCCACACACACACACACACAAACCAAAACAAACAAAAAAACAGGCACATAAGGAAACTAGATTCCAGAGGCAAGAATTAGTAGAAACAGTTAAATTCATATAGTCTTAGGTATTACATTTATGCTTTGTGTGTTTAAAGAAATAAAGTCAAGTGTCAAATACCTGTAGAGAATTGGAAACTAAAAAGTGATGGAACTAATTTGGGAAGTAACTAAATACAAATGTTGCAAGAATATATAAAAACTGAACTTTAAAACTCAGTAAATAGGTTTAAAGGCAGAACAGGATATAACCAATTGGAAGGATTTATAAACTAGAATATAAATCAGGAGAAATTATCCAGAATGCAGCATGGAGAAACAAAAAGATGGAAAGATGGAAAAATCAGGAAACATATAGAGGATACAGTGAGAATTCCCAACATCTGCTTAATTAGCTGCAGAAGGAGAGGGGAGGGTAGAACAGAACAAATATTTTTAGATACAATGTAGACTTTTAAAAAATTGACGAAAGACATGACTCTACAGATTCAAGAAGTTAAACAAATTCCAAACAGAATAAATAAAAAGGGATCTACACATAGGCACTTTAAAATAGGAACTGCCAGCTGGCACAGAGTCCAAGGAACAGTCTGCTCTCTCTAGTCAGAGGACAGAGAAGGGGGTTGGGGGACTATGAGACAGAATCCTTTTGAATTTACTTACCTTATTCCAGGAGAGCTGCAGAAAAACAGCAGCACCCCTCCCTCCCTACCATATGTAAACCCTATGGGGCAATGTGAACTTTCCCTGCCCTACCTAATCTAGAGACAGCAAAAAGGCAGCACCCCCCTCTCTACCCACTGTGCAATGGTGGCAGCCAGTGCAGGGCAGAACACTAGCAACGTTGTGGGGAAGCTAAAGCTCTGCCTTCTAGCCAGAACACCAAGAAGGGGTGATCTTAGAACCAGAGAGTGTGGGGAAGATCATTGATAGGAGGGAATTGAAGAAAGGGAACCTCTAAATTTGTATATAAAATCCTGAGATCACCTCCACACTGTGCATGTGTGAAATTGACCAGAAGCAGCCAAACAAAGGTTTTGAAAACTGATCTACAGTATAGCTCACTATCCAGGTTTCAGACTAGCCACTGGGTGGTGCACAATTTGGGCAGATTAGAATGGTAGTGCAAAGTCACTGAGAACTAAATTTTTGGAACAATAGCCCACAGAAAGCAGGCCAGGATGTGTGGTGTGAACTAACTGGATTGACTTCCAGCTAAAACAAGACAAAACAAAAACACTCTTCTGAAGATTTAAACAGGACTGAGAATTTCATAATATTCAAAATATCCAGGAAATCATCGAAAATTATTCAAGATGCAAAACACTAGGGAAATCTAAGTAACTCACAAGGGAAAAGACAATGAACAAAAACCAGTTCTGAGGTAACCCAAATGTTGGAATTATCAGAAGACAAAAAGAATTAATTTAATCAGGTTCTACAAAGCAAAGGTAAAAATTATTGAAATGAATGGAAAGATAGAAGTCTTCACCAAAGAAATCAAAGCTATAAAAAGAACCAAATGGAAATTTTAGAACTGAAGAATACAGTAAAAAAAATTACTGGAGATGATGGATGGAAGAGTCAGTGAATTTGAAGATACATGAGTAGAAACTATCCAGTCTGAATAACAATGAGAAAAAAAGTGGAAAAAAATGAAGAGCTTCGAGGACATATAGGACAATATCAAAAAGTCTAATATTTGTGTCATAGAAGCTAGCTGAAAACTTCCAAAATCCCATGAGTCTGGGTTTTCATGATTCACACAACCCTGTAAGTAAACACAGCTAATTGGATAAGTGGCAATAATGCCTGACAGATTTGTTAACTTAAAAAAGAAAATATTTAAGCAGCCAAAGGAACCAAAATATAAAGTAATTAAATTCTCAATTCTCAAAAACCCTTTAACTTCAAGCCTGAGGGCCATTTAAAATTCATTGAATTAAATTAGTTTTTTGGTTTTTTTCGGGTTTTTTTTTTTGTGGTATGCGGGCCTCTCACTATTGGGGCCTCCCACTATTGTGGCCTCTCCCGTTGCGGAGCACAGGCTCGGGACGCGCAGGCCCAGCGGCCATGGCTCACGGGCCCAGCCGCTCCGCGGCATGTGGGATCCTCCCGGACCGGGCCACGAACCCGTGTCCCCTGCATCGGCAGGCAGACTCCCAACCACTGCGCCACCAGGGAAGCCCCCTTTTGTTTGTTTTTAATCACAATTTAGGGAGTTAGTAGGATCCCGTTTTAGCATTAAATTACGTGGAAGTAGGAATCCAGTGCAGAGACTCCCAATTTGGCAGATGACATTTAAACATCTTTTGTCTGCTGAACTGCAGAATAAATCCAGGACAGGAATCAAAGTAAGTGGAAGCTATCAATTTAGGCATATTTAAAAAGAAATTTGAGGCAACCAGAGAGTAAAAATTTACTGCTTTATAGTTACGGGAATTGGCAACTGGGCTAGCAGAAAACTTGTCAATAACAAAACAGAAGCCAGAAAACTATAAAATATATACATTTAATATATATATTTAAGTGCTAAGTGGAAAGTAAATTCTAAGGCTAGCTACACTCTTATTCAAGAGTGAATTGTATGTACTGAATCAAAGGTCACCCACAGATTACCTCATCTTATTCCACTCCTCTAATACACATAATCTCACCACCTCTACCCAGATTGGGTTAATCAGAGCTAATATTATACCATTAATTCCTCTTTAAATATGTCATCAAATGCAGCTCCAAACTATCAGGTCAATGCCCATTTTTCACATTCTGATCTTCATAAGGCTCTGTACATCTTTCTTCAGTGTACCATATACCCTTAACACATGAAACCCTTCCTTTATGCAAAAAGATTAAAAGTAATTAGACACATATTTGCTATAAAATTTTCCAAACACTCAAAAGTAGAGAAAATGGTATGATGAAACTCCACATACCCAACCTATAACAATCCTCAGATTCAACAATTATCAAGATTTTCCACTTTTGCTTCATCTATCTCTTGATTTCTTTGCTGGAGTATTTTCAAGCAAATCTTAGACATCATTATCTCATGCCACATATTCCACTATGTAGTTCTAAAAAATGGACAGTGAAGAGTAATTTTAATTGAGCCAGTTACTGTAAAATCTATGAAAATATTGACCTAATACGGTTATCAATAGGCCATAGAAACTTTTGTACTGCAACTGATACGATCTAGAAAGTGAAAAGACAACCTGCAAAATGGAAGAAAATATTTGTAAACCATATATCTGTTAAGGGACTTGTAGTCAGACTTTATAAAGAATTTTTACAATTCAACAAAACCTCCACAAATAACCTAATTTTAAAAATGTGCAAGTAATTTGAATAGACACTTCTCCAAAGAAAATATATAAAAAGCCAATAAGCACTTGAAAATATGTTCAACATTATTAGTCACTAGTGATATACAAATAACGACCACAATGAGATGTTGCTTCATATCCATTTGGATGGCTATAATTAAACAAATAAACAGATAATCACAAGTATTGGTGAGGATGTGGAGAAATTGGAACCCTCATACATTGCTGGTGGGAATGTAAAATGTTGTATGTAGCTGCTTTGCAAAACTGTTTGACACTTCCTCAAAAAGTTAAACATAGAGTTAACCATATGAACCAGCAATTCCACTCCTATGTATATACCCAAGAGAAATACATCTGCATAATTCCACACAGAATTTGTACAAGAATGTTTATAGCAGCCAAAATTCATTAGTTGCCAAAAAAATGGAAACAATGCAACAGTCCATCCATTGATGAATAGACAAATAAATGTGGTATATGCAAATAATGGAAATTTGGCCACAAAAAAATTTTAAAAATTACTGATACATGCTACAATATGAACCTTGCAAACATTATGCTAAGTGAAAGAAGCCAGTCACAAAACACTGTATACTGTATGATCCCATTTAAATGAAATGTCCAGAATGGGCAAATCCATAGAGACAGAAAGTGGATTAGTGGTTCCTTAAGGTTGGGGAGAAAGGGGAGTGACTGCTTTGGATGATGAAAATGTTCTAAAATTGATGGTGTGCTGGTTGCACAATTCTGTGACTACACTGAATTGTACCCTTTAAGTGTATAACATTTTGTATCATTAGGAAATGCAGATCAAATTCAAGCCAATCAATTGTATATCTCAAGAAAGATTTTTTTTTAAGGTCAATGAAGTCATTAAAATTTAGTGTTTTCTGAAACTCAAGAAATCTTTTCGATTGAGCTTGAGAAAATCCAGAGAATACGGAAACCTTATTGAAGACATTGAAATAATGACAACTCATCTGGAAAGACTTACGTGTATTAAAATATGAAGAGCTGGGCGAGAAGGGCTGCCATTTGTGCTGTGTGTGAGGTGATGTATTGTTATCCTAATTTTACAACTGACGGATTGAGTGGTAGAGTTACAGAACCAGAATATGGCAGTGCTGCATTGCTAATTCACGTCAGTCTGAGTCCACTGGCGCTTTTTCCAGTCCCAGCTTGGCTGTGGAAAGGAGTTAAGGAGGGCAAAGAAAGCAGTGGGTGGGAGAATCCAGCTGCTAGGAGTGTTTCTGAGTGAAAACCGGTAGAGAAGTCAAGAGGGGAACAGAAAACTTCCAACTTATCACTTCAGTCTCCTTATGCAGAAACGCTTTTTATGGAGATAGGATTTCATGTCATTTTTTAGGATGCTACTAAAATTAAAAAGAGAAAATATATCCAATTTGGAAATTCGTACCCCACAACAGCAACTTGGCGTCTCAACCCAGCTTCTGTTTTCCCTGACGCCGCGTTCTTCATTACTACCCATTTCCTGACTACCTTTCAAAGGAGCAACGCGCGCGACACTAGAACGCGAAAACCATCCGGGAAGACGGCGGACTGGCGAAACTCGAGCCACCGCCTCTGCGCGTGCGCACCGCTCCTCGGCCCCTTCCGCCTCCGCCTCGGAAGCTCCTCCTAGGCAGCTGTCGGAGGCCACGGCAAGGTGTCTTCTCTGTAGAGTCGGGGTTTCTCGCCATCTGTGACGGGTCTTCGGCGGCACCCACCGCTCAGCGCCTGCGCAGACTGAGGACCACGGTCACCATGACAGCGACCGCCGGGGCCCCTGGTAAGCGGGGCTCCCCAGGCTCCGGGTCTGGGACGGTGCTCCACACCGTGGGCTTGCAGTGGACGTTTTCCCCGGCCCGCTGCCGGTAGTTGGGGGCCCTTTGAGAGACTCCTCTGGCGGCACTCCTTCCTTTTCTGGATCTCGTGGTCCGCGTTCTCTACGTTCTCCCAGAATCAAGCGGCCTAGAGCCTTGGTTCCCCGCGTGGGCGGTAAAGAAAAGCTTTTGGTGTGGCAAAGAATGGCAAGAATATTTTGACATTTTGTAAAGGAGTTTTTTTGTTTGTTTTAAGAGCAGTTTTAGGTTCCTGGGAATATTGAGCGGAAGACACGGTGATTCTCCATATACCCATACCTGACATACGCATAACTTCCCCATATCAGCCTTCCCCACCAGAGTGGTACTTTTGTTACAATTGTGAGCCTACACTGATGCATCGTAATTACCCAAAGTCCATACTTTACATTAGGGTTCACTCTTGGTGGTGTACGGTCTGTGGGTTTAGACAAATGTATAATGAATGACACGTTCCATGGTAGGGTATCATACAAAATAGTTTCACCATCCTAAAAATCCTTTGTGCTCCACTGACTTATCCTCCTTCCCCCCCCCCCCAACCCCTGACAACCACTGATCTTTTTACTGTCTCCATAGTTTTGTCTTTTGCAGAATGTCAGGTAGTTGGAATTATACAGTATGTAGCCTTTTCATATTGGCTTTTTTTCACTTAGTAATATGCGTTTAAGCTTTCCTCGTGTCTTTTCATGGCTTGAGAGCTCATTCCGTTTTAGAGAGCAATAATATTCTGTTGTCTTGGTGTACCACGGTTTATCCATTCACCTACTGAAGGATATCTTGGTTGCTTACAAGTTTCAACAATTATAAATAAAGCTGCTATAAACATAAGTGTGCAGGTTTTTGTATGGACATAAGTTTTCAACTCCTTTGAGTAAATATCAAGGTGTATGATTGCCGGATTGTATGGTAGGAGTATGTTTAATTTTGTAAGGAACTGCCAAGCTCTCTTTTAAAGTGGCTGTACCATTAGGTTTCCCTGGTGGCGCAGTGGTTGAGAGTCCGCCTGCCGATGCAGGGGACACGGGTTCGTGCCCGTGGTCCGGGAGGAGCCCACGTGCCGCAGAGCAGCTGGGTCCGTGAGCCATGGTCGCTGAGCCTGCGCGTCCGGAGCCTGTGCTCCCCAACAGGAGAGGCCACAACAGTGAGAGGCCTGCGTACCGCAAAAAAAAAAAAAAAAAAGTGGCTGTACCATTTTGCATTCCCACTCACAGTGAATGAGAATTCCTGTTACTCCACATCCTCACCAGCATTTGATATATCAGTGTTCTGGATTTTGGCCATTTTAATAGGTGTGTAGTTATACCCTGTTGTTTTAATGTGTGTTTCTCTGATGACATGGATGTGGAGCACCTTTTCATATACTTGCTATCCGTCTATCTTCTTTGGTAAGGTGTCTGTTAAGGTCTTTGGTCCATTTTTTAATGGGGTTGTTTGCTTATTGTTGAGTTTTAAGAGTTCTTTATATATTTAGGATAATAGTCCTTTATCATATGTGTCTTTTGCAAATATTTTCTCCCAGTCTGTGGCTTGTCTTTTCATTCTCTTGATGTTACCTTTTGCAGAGAAAAAGTTTTTCATTTTAATGAAGTCCAGCTTATCCATTATTTCTTTCATGGATGGTGCCTTTGGTGTTGTAGCTAAAAGGTCATTGCTGTGACGTGACCGTAGATACAGAAATCTACGAGAGTCATGTAGATTTTCTCCTATATTATCTTCTAGGAGTTTTATCGTTTTGTATTTTACACTTAGGTCTGTGATCCATATTGAGTTAATTTTTGTGAAGGTATGACATCTGTGTCTAGATTCCTTTTCTGCATGTGAACATCCAGTTGTTCCAGCACCATTTGTTGAAAAAGCTGTCTTTGTTCCACTGTATTGCCTTTGTTCCTTCATCAAAGATCAGTTAACTCTATTTATGTGGATCTATTTTGGGACTCTCTGTTCTGTTCCATTGATCTATTTGTCTGTTCTTTCACCAAAACCACACTATCTTAATTACTGTAGCTTTACAGTACGTTTTGATGTTGGATAGAGTCATCACTTCATTCTTCTTCAATATTATGCTGACTATTCTGGGTTTTTTGCCCTCCACATACACTTTAGAATCAGTTAGTCGATATCCACAAAATAACTTGGTGGGATTTTGATTGGGATTGCTTGAATCTATAGATCAAGTTGGGAAGAACTAAACATCTTGACAATATTGAGTCTTCCTATCCATGAACATGGACTATCTCTCCATTTATTTAGTTCTTTGATTTCATTCATCAGAGTAGCTGTCCTCATGTTGATCTTGTACATATTTTGTTAGGTTTATACCTAAGTATTTTGGTTTTGTGGGTTTAATGTAAATGGTATTGTGTTTTCATTTCAAATTCCATGTTCATTGCTGGTAAATAGGAAAGCAATTGACTCTTGTGTATTAAACTTGAATCCTTCAACCTAGCTATAATCACTTGTTAATTCCAGGAGTTTTTGTGTTGATTCTTTTGGATTATATGCATAGACAACCATATCTTTGTGAACAAAGCAGTTCATTTCTTCGTCCTGGTATGTACACCTTTTATTTCTTTTTGTTGTCTTAGTGCATTAGCTGGTACTTCCAGTATAATGTTGAAAAGGAGTGGCGAGGAGGGAGGAGTATTTGAGATCTTGGTTGAAATGAAAGGAATGTGACATTTACCTGACCCATAATTTCAGCAGATGAAATGAGGAATAGTTTGAGCAGTCCTGTTCCTCTTTGGCAATTGGGTGAGGATGAGGATAGGAGACGTAGACAAAGTGATGTGGCCAAGCATTATTCCAGCTTTTTTTAATGCAGCCTTTAGAAGCTGGTAATTAGTGTGTCTCTGTTGTTTGACCCCGGAGTTAGAGGTGTTTTTTTCTTTCACTTTTTTAAAATTGAAGTATAGTTGATTACAGTGTTGTGCCAGTCTTTGCTGCACGGCAAAGTGACTCATTTATACACATATAGACATTCTTTTTTTATATTCTTTTCCACTATGGTTTATCCCAGGAGATTGCATATAGTTCCCTGTGCTATGCAGTAGGACCTTGTTGTTTATCCATTCTAAATGTAATAGTTTGCATCTACCAACCCCAAACTCCCAGTCCATCCCTCTCCCTCCTCCCTTCCCCCTTAGCAACCACAAGTCTGATCTCTATGTCTGAGTCTGTTTCTGTTTTGTAGATAGGTTCATTTGTGCCATATTTTAGATTCCATGTATAAGTGATGTCATATGGTATTTGTCTTTCTCTTTCTGACTTACTTCATTTAGTGTGGTAATCTCTAGTTGCATCCATGTTGCTGCAAGTGGCATTATTTCATTCTTTTTTTAAAAAATAAATTTATTTATTTTTTATTTTATTTTATTTTTGGCTGCGTTGGTCTTTGCTGCTGCACACAGGCTTTCTCTAGTTGCGGCCAGCAGGGGCCACTCTTTGTTGCGGTGCACGGGCTTCTCAGTACAGTGGGTTATCCTGCTGTGGAGCATGGGCTCCAGGCGCATGGGCTTCAGTAGTTGTGGTACAAGGGCCCAGTAGTTGTGGCTCACAGACTCTAGAGCACAGGCTTAGTAGTTGTGGCACACAGGCTTAGTTGCTCCATGGCATGTGGGATCTTCCTGGACCAGGGCTCGAACCCATGTCCCATGCATTGGCAGGCAGATTCTTAACCACTGCGCCACCAGGGAAGCCCTATTTCGTTCTTTTTTTTATGGCTGAGTAGTATTCCATTGTATACATGTACCACATCTTTATCCATTCATCTGTCAATGGACATTTAGGTTGTTTCCATGTCTTGGCTATTGTGAATAGTGCTGCTATGAACATAGGTGTGCATGTATCTTTTTGAGTTATAGTTTTGTCTGGGTATATGCCCAGGAGTGGGATTGCTGGATCATGTAGTAATTCTGTTCTTAGTTTTCTGAGGAACCTCCAAACTGCTGCACCAACTTATATTCCCACCAACAGTGTCAGAGGGTTCCCTTTTCTCTATACCCTCTCCAGCACTTGTTATTGTAGGCTTTTATGATGGCCATTCTGACTGGTGTGAGGTGGTACCTCATTGTAGTTTTGATTTGCATTTCTCTAATAATTAGTAACGTTGAGCATCTTTTCATGTAAGTACTGGCAATCTGTATGTCTTCTTTGGAGAAATGTCTATTAACGTCTTCTGCCCATTTTTTGATTGGGTTGTTCATTTTTTTGTTGTTGAGTTGTATGAGCTTTTTGTATATTTTGGATATTAAGCCCTTGTCAGTCACATCATTTGCAAATATTTTCTCCCATTCCGTGGGTTGTCTTTTCACTTTTTTTTTATGGTTTCCTTTGCTGTGCAAAACAGAGGGGTTTTAAGCCAGGCAGTTCTACTCCAGAAGGTTATAGTATCTTTTACATAAACATAAGTAGTCACATCAGACAGTTTTGGTAATACATTCTTTTTTCAGTTTAAATTTTTTCCTGATTGTAAACATAATACATGCTCATTATAGAACATTTATATAGTAAAGTATATTGAAATAGGAAAACAATTTACATAGTGCCCATATTCAGAGGTACCATTAGTTAACTTTTTGGTATATTTTCTGACAATCCTGACTTAAAATATAGGGAATTCTCCGGTGGTCCAGTGATTAGGACTCTGCACTTCCCCTGCAGGAAGCCTGGGTTTGATCCCTGGTGGGGGAACTAAGATCCCATAAGCCGTGTGACATGGCCAAAAAAAAAAAATACATATAGTTAAGATTGTAGTATACATGCTACCATATACTGTGTTCTCATTTTTGTTCTTCTCCCGCTTTTTTTTTAAACATACAAATGTTTTTTAGAGCATTAGTTTTTAGTGGCTTAGAACAACACAAATTTATTATCTTATAATTCAGGCGGCCAGAAGTCTGAAATGGGTCTAGCTAAAAATCAGTGTCAGCATGGCTGCATTCCTTCTAGAGGCTCTAGGGGAGAATCAGTGTCCTTGCCTTTTGCTATCCTCTAGAGACTGCTTGAATTCCTTGGCTCATGGTCTCATCCTCTATTTTCAAAGCCAGCAGTTGCTGGTCAAGTCTTTCTCACATTGCATCACACTGACACTGACTCTCCTGCCTTCCCTTTCACTTACAAGGATCTTATAAGATGCTTAATTTGATTAAATTAGGCTCACCTGGATAATCCAAGCTCAGCGTCAACTGACTAGCAACTTTAATTGCACGTGTAACTTTAATTCGCCCTTGCTGTGTAACAACATATTCACAGTTCACAGATTAGGATACAGACATCGTTGGGAGGGGAGGGATCATTATTCTTCCTACTGCAGTACCTATACATATTGTTCTCCACCTTGCTTTTTTCTCGCTTAACATATCTTTGAGATTATTCTATATTACACATATGGATCTGCCTCATTCTTACTAATGGCTGCATTGTGTTCCATTGCATGGATATACCATAATTTATTTAGTGAATTCACTGTTGCTGAATATTTAGGTTATTTTCACTCTTTTGCTGTTACAAACAATGCTGCAATAAATATCCTTATATCAAATGTGTCATTTCCTACATATTACAAGCATATCTGTCAATGGGATAAGTTTATGAAAGTGGAATTTCTGGGTCAAAGAGTAGATGTACTTTTCTTTTTCTTTTTTTTTAACTTTTTAAAAATCTTTATCGAGATATAATTTGTATACCATACAATTCACTCATTTCGGGCATAGAATTCATTGGTTTTTAGTATATTCAGAGTTGTGTAACCATCACCACAATCAATTTCAGAGCAATTTCATCACCATAGAAAGATGTAAAAATTAGGGGAGGTCACATATAGGAACTCTCTACTTTTTGCTCAGTTTTTTCTATAAACCTGAAACTGCTCCCACTAAAAGTCTTAATTTTTAAAAATTACAAGTAATTTTGCCTTTCTCCTGGCCTTATTTTCAGAATAACAGTTTACTTAAAATAGTGATAATACCCTAGATTATAGGTAAGTAGAGTCTGAAATTCTGTGTATATGAAGATATATACAGTTGTGGCTAAGTGTAAGGTACAGTTTCACCCATTAACTGGGCAAGGAGAACTTTTTGCTTCAAATGTTTTTAATTTCTGGAATCCTGGTATTTTATTATTAATCTGCAAGTTACCCTTATAAAAATTTTGAATCCAGTGTGTTTAGTTGGAAGGTGTCAAGGATACATCTAGCATGCGCTATTAACTAACATTTAGTTTTTTTATGGTAACATGCGTGATTACCATTTCTGTGAGATTTTTGGCATATCTCAAAAACTTCATTTTTAACAGCCACATCAATTACATATTTTATCATGAGGATATACTGTGATTTAATTTTTCCCATTGTTGGACATTTCTGTTTTAGCCAGTAGTTACTGTACCTTTTTAAGATGCCTAAGTTAAACATGTAAAAAATGATGGCCATGTATTTTCATCTGAGTCTGAAAGGTCTGTGACTCTCTTGCCTATGTTAAAAAGGGGCATGTGTTTTGTATAGGAGACTGCTTGGATAGTGGATGCTACAGCTAACTGTTTAGTTTCTTTATTCTGTAGCCCAATATGCAGAGTGGTTACTGAGTTCCATGCATGTTACTTACAAGTTATTTTCATATGCCCCTCCATTCTCTTATCAAATTTTACTTTCTCTCAATGTCTTATCATCAGTTTATGATGGCCATTTTTAGGTTTTTAACTGTTGTTAGGTGGAGTTAATAAACAGATAATTAAACGGAAGACATAATCTCATGCATAGGGAATTTGCAGCCATTTGGTAGCCACTTAAATGTTTAAACCAATGAACAAGAATTGGCAAGGTAAGATTATAGATACCTCTTTCACTGTTTTTCAGTCTTTTATCCTTCTTATATTGCGATATGGCATAATATGGAGTAGAACTGATTCAAGTATTTTAGTCTTGGTTAACACACATTTTAATGCCTAATTAAGAAAAAAATCTGGTCTGCCAAAAACTAGTCGATAGTTACGGGGATTACATATATTTGTACATGCTAGATAAATCTATAAATACTAACTCAGGATTTACTTAGTCACTCATGTAAGTGTTGTTGACATTTATAATTTGAAGGTGAATATGCCTAAATGTGTAATTTAAGATTCTAAATGGTTGATATAAATATAGAATGGAGCCTCAGGTGGAGAAGACAATTAAGTTCTACAAAATTTAGAAGTTTTTTAACATAGAATTGGCTTTATATACATTTTACTTATTTATGGGGCCAGGATTGGAGAAGATACCATGTGAAAATTCCTGCTTTAAAATATCTGCTTCTTACCAGTTTTTTTTTTTTCTTCTTCCTACATATTTCCTCACAGTTCTGAGGTTCAGACTATCCTATATGTTTACTAATTATTACTTACATCATAAATAGCCTATTTATTTATAAATATATATTTTTATACTTGCCACATCTTAATACTTGTTCTTAATTTTTAAAAATCTTATATTTTCCCAGTTTTATTACTTTATTTTTCTCTATCAATATATGCTGTGCCCTTTTTTTATTAAAAAATTTACCCTATAAAAACTTCTTTTTAATATAAGTGCTGTTATTTTAGGATCTTGGAGTGAAAACATACTGGAATATTTTCTCAGAAATAACCAGATCACAGCAGAAGATGGCGCCCAGATCATCTGGTATCATGCGGCTAACCACAAGGTGCAAGTGAATGAGGCACTGAGAAGTAAGTCATTAGTTACTTGTATTTACATTAGATCATAGATGAAGTCAACTCTTTTTAAAAAAAAATCTGGTCATATTTGCAGGTGCCAGAGACTTAGATGATTCAAGTGTAAATTCTTGGCTAACATAAACATTTTTGTAAAAGATCTCATTTTATTTACAAAATGAACAAGTTTCCATAATGGAAGAATTTTCTCATTTTCCAGAAGTGATTTACCGTTTCTATGCCTTATTTAAAACTCTCATATGTTATTACATTTGCTTATATATTGTAGTGATTTAGGTAAAATTTTTAAGATCAGGTTGTATGTCGTACATACACATTTTTGTGTCTTTCACAGTGTACTAAGGAGAAGCTCAATAAATAGTTGTTGAATGAAGTCACTGAATACTAATTTATAATGCCTTGAGCAATATTTATGCCTAGGCTAGAAACCAAGCCTTTTGGTTTACTAGCTCCATCTGTAATCAGATGATTACTATAGCAGCTTAATTAGCCTTTTGCTATGAAAAGGCTAACTAAACTGTTGGCTGCAGCAGCTTAGGAGAATGAAAGCATATCACCAGAGGGGTAGGGCACAGCTTGAAGTGCCCTGTTCCAACAGGAAGAATTCCTTGTAACCTTGTGTTTTATTGTAAAAATTTATACATTTTTTGCATCTTAGTTATGTATCTGGATAATGTATCTAAATATGTATTTTTTTATTGTAAAGATACTCTTTTAAATTGCTTTTTTTTCTTTGTTCCTCAAAGGGAAGAACCTTGTCTTCTAATATCCCTAATACCTAAAACAGTGCCTAGCACATAGTAACCAAACAGTGATTATTTAATAAATAAATTTTTAGCAAAAGCAATGCTTCAGGAAGATGTTGATTAGTGGCTGCCTGGAGCTGATAGGAATAGGGACTAGAGAGTAAATGCTAATGGATACAGTGTTTCTTTCTGGGGTGACAAAATTTTTCTGGAATTAGGTGGTGGTGGTGATGGTTGCACAACTTTCTGAATATTCTGCAAACCATTGAATGGTACACTTTATTTTATTTATTTATTTATTTGGTTGCGTTGGGTGTTAATTGCTGTGCAAGAGCTTTCTCTAGTTGCAGACTTTCTCATTATGGTGGCTTCTCTTGTTGCGGATCACGGGCTCTAGGCACGTGGGCTTCAGTAGTTGTGGCTCGCGGGCTCTAGAGCGCAGGCCCAGTAGTTGTGGCGCACAGGCTTAGTTGCTTTGTGGCATGTGGGGTCTTCCCAGACCAGGGCTCAAACCCGTGTCCGCTGCATTGGCAGGCGGATTCTTAACCACTGTGCCACCAGGGAAGCCCTGAATGGTACACTTTAAAAGGATGATGTTATAGTATGTGAATTATATATCAATTTTTTTAAATGGAAAAAAGATAGGAATAATACAACTGTTATGTACAGACAATATGGTTGCGTATATAGTAAATCAAAAAGATTCTACAGATAAATGATTTATAATTCATAGGTTAATTTAGACAATCTGTCTTTTTTGACTGTATAAAATCAAAACAAAATAAATTTTATTTCTATATAACAACTAAAAATTTGGAAAAAATCTTAAAAATTTACAATTTGTAATAGTAAATGCAGAAGCCTCATACCTAGAAATAATTTAATTAACTATGGATCATTTACTTTTAGCCAAGTTTTAAAAATGACTAATGGAAGTCATTTCTAGTTGCTGGAAGTCTGGTGTTGATCTGGGAATTTTTTATAGGTTACTTAATTTTCAGTTAATATCCTCTTTACCTTCTCTTAGGCAACAAGAGCCCCAAGTTTTATAGTTTCGGGGATGTTTTTCACCCAGTCCCTTTTCTCAGCTCTGGCTAGTCTTGCAATTTCTTTCTAGTCCAAAGGAAAGAAAACAGATTCCTGGAGACATGTATTTCATTGGTTTATCTTATTTCTCCCAGAATATTTAAATTTAGTACAACTGTTATTAATGAAGCTGTTTCTATTTTGATTAACCTGTGATACTGGATTTTCAACAATGTCTATGTTTAAAAAAACAAAGTACAGGAGGAACAATGTAAGAGTGTTATTTGATGTTGCATTGTCAACACATCCGACCTCAGAATAGTCAAACTTGTTTAAAAAAGTTATTATATATAATGTAATTTTTTTGTTATAACATTTCTGCATGTAGATTTTAAAAATATATATATTAAAAGAAACGCTGGTTAAAAAATTGAAATCATCCGTCTTCCCTGGTGGCGCAGTGGTTGAGAGTCCGCCTGCCGATGCAGGGGACACAGGTTTGTGCCCCGGTCCGGGAAGATCCCACATGCCGCGTGGTGGCTGGGCCCGTGAGCCATGGCCATTGAGCCTGCGCGTCCGGAGCCTGTGCTCCGCGACAGGAGAGGCCACAGCAGTGAGAGGCCCGCGTACCGCAAAAAAAGTTTAATTGTTTAAAAAATATATATATTGAAATCATCAAGTCTTTTTGAGAATAAAAAATGTAGTTTTTTTAAAAAAGGCTTTGTAACATATTTAGGAAAAGTGTGACTATAGTCATCAACTAAATGTATTAAAAAATATAATAAATTGCTGCATTAGAGCATGTAAATAGTATAGGCAAGATAGATAATTTTAACTTCATTTCAATAAACATATTTCTTTGAGTTTTGTTTTGAGTGTGAGTAGCAACTATTTGGGATTTTCTTGTGCAGAAAATCAGAAAAAACAAAGCTGTTTTCTACTGTCTGGCTGTTGTCACAAGCTGGGGCTCCTGTGGTTGGAGTGATAATCTTGATGTGCAGACTTCCTCATCTGGCTCTCTCTGAGTTGGGAAATATGGTGACCAGGCAGTCTCCCGAAGTAGAAGCATTCCCTGACCTTCAAAAGGCTTCTACCCAAGGACCAGGGGTGGGAGAATAGGGAGAGAGGCTGGACAGCTCACAAACATGTCTCCAGGCCAGGCCTCCCTCTCTTCTGTATTAGTCTATCCAACTGCTTATTTGGTGTTTTCACTTATAGAGTTCTCATGCATCACAAATTTAAATTATTCAAAATGAAATTCTTAATTATGTCTACTAACCTGTACTTCCTATGATCTTTGCTATCTCAGTAAATGGCACCATAATCCACATAGATTCTTTTGTTTGTTTGTTTGTTTGTTTGTTTGTTTTTGGCCACACCACGCATCTCGCGGGATCTTAGTTCCTTGGCCAGGGCCCACGGCAGTGAAAGTACCAAGTCCTAACCACTGGAATGCCAGGGAATTCCCCATGTATTCTTAAGCCAGAAATCTGGGAACCATCTATTCTTTGTTTTCTTTATTTCTTGCATCTGCTCTATTATCCAGACATTATACTTCTATTCCAAAATATATTTTGAATTAGTCCACATCTGTCCATCTCTGTTGTCATCATCCTTGTTCAAGCCATCATGATCTCTTACCCCTACTGCTTAGCTTCCATTCTTATTCTTAAAAGAGACCTTCAGGAACATAATTTACATGGGACCTGAGATTCCTTGTCACTGCCATTTAGTGATTTTTTTTTCTATTCATGGGAAATGAATGGAGTTAATAAATGGAGACACTGACTATTACTGTTAAGGAATTCCAAGGCCTTTATGCTCCTTTACAACTGCATTGATAGAGAAGATGGAATGCCTACATATATTGTGCTAAGTACCACTTTATTGAGAAGTCATGTTTGCTTAATTTTTATGAAATTAGACAGAAGCTTGACCTATTGCATCTCAAATATAACTCTGTTTAACTTTTTTTGAGAAACTGCAAGCTTTTCTGAAGCAGCTACACCTTCTTACATTCCCACCAACAGAGTGGATGAGGTTTCTAATCTCCCCATGTCCTTGTCAACATTTGTTATTGTCTTTTTCATTATAGTCTTCCTAGTACTTGTGAATTGGTAGCTCATTGTAGTTTAGATTTGCATTTCCCTGAAGGTTAATGATGTTGAGCATCTCTTCATACGCTTATTGGAAAATGGCTTATATATGCAGCTGGGTAGCTTTTTCAGCCTATTTCCTGCCTATAGAAATTTGAGAGTTCATAGGCTTCTTTTCGTTTTGAACTGTCTCTCTTTTTTTTTTCAGGTCCAAGTGGATACAGCTCTATTAAAAATGTACTAGTCTTTCTATATATCAAATTATAAACCATCCCTTTAATCAAAAACCTTATTGCTGGATCTCTTTGGGGTAGGCCTCTCTCTACTTGGTCTGCTAGTTAGGGTGCTATGGGATAACACCCTTAAGATTCTATAATGTTCTTTTGTCTAGCTCTGTGGGTACCCAATGCATCATCTTTCTGAAGTCTTAATAAAGGGTCTTGTAGCTGTATCCTTGGTTTGGTCTTGATCCCGAGGCCATGGTTTACTAACAGCATCCTGGATTTGACTTTTGACCTGAGGCTTTCTCCTACTTTGAGAATCTCTTGCCAGCTGGAAAGAATGGTTTTATTTTCTAACTCAGCACAAGTCCTAAGCTGGAAATATTTCCTCTCTATGCTGCTTAAAATGTAAATAGTTAATTATTTAACTCAGCTCTTTCTTCCCATTCTTTATCATAGGAGCTAAAATAAACCCCGTTGGCATTTTCAACATCCTGCCTGGAAACCTCCTTAGCCAAATCCACAAATTGACTAGGCACCCTCTCTATCTTCCACCAGTTGCTACAAGTGCCAACGTTATCAAAAGTTTCACCACTACATGAAAAGAATTTCCTCACTGCTCTTCTAACTTGCTTTAACAGTGCCTTTCTAGAATCTGCTGGATCCCAAAACTAGTGTCACAGGTTTCAGGTTTTTGTTATGGAAGGGCCCCACTTCCAGGTAGCTATTTCTGTTTGTTTTCTGTTGCTGTGTAATAAACTACCCCCCAAATTTTGTGGCTTAAAATGACAGTGATTTATCACTTTTCATGATTTTGTGGGTCAGCTAGTGGTTCTTCTGTTCCATGTGGTATAGACTGGGAGCACTCATGTTGCTGCATTTGGCTGGGAGCTCAGCTGGGCCTAGAAATTCTAAAATGGCCTCACTCACATGTCAGAGACCTTCATGCTATCTGTCAGGCAGGAGGTCTTAGTTTTCTTCCATGAGGCTTCTCTCTCTCCCTGTGGTTTCTGAGTCTTCAGTAGTCTTACCTGAACTTCTTTACGTGGTAGCTGGCTTTCAAGAGGATGAAAGCAGAAGCTGCCAGGCCTTTTAAGGGCTTGGCTTAGAACTGAGAGTTTTACTTCCACTACCTTCCACTGGTCAAAGCAAGTCACAAAACCAGCCCAGACTCAAGGGGAGGAGAAAGAGATGAGGAGAGAGGCACGTACATATGGGAGGAATTGTTGTCAGCCATCTTTGGAGTTAGTCTATCAGAGCCTGCTAAGCACACTCACACTAAGTGACTGGTGAAGCTCTTTACCCATTCCAGGGATGTGTGCTTTTAAATAGTAGCCAAGCTTTAGGTTAAGGAGCTGAATCTATAACATACAATTTCAAACATAAACAATAAACATCTGTAGTTTGAGGAGTGAGAAGATAAAAGTACTATTTTTGTTCTCAGAAGAGTCAACAAATACTTATTAAGCCTCCCTTTGTATTCTCACTTTGCCATATACTGGGAAGAAATTAAATATTAGGACAACAGCTTGAGTGTGACCTAGGCAAAGGTATTGCACTCCTCACTGCCTATTTGCTCACGTGTAACAAATAAGTGCAACATGTAAGGCTTGACATAGTACCTGGCACTTAGTCTTTACTCAGTAAATTTTATTTTCTTTCCTTCCTTTTATCTTCCTCAAAAGGATACTGAATATGCCATCTCCTACAGTCTCTATTTTATTAGCATTAATGTAAGTTCTTTTATCTGGACAGGTACTGCTCATATGATAGAGGCTGATGTCATTTTTCCAAGTGATGGGTCAGAACATGGCCAACCAATCATGGCTCATCCTCCTGAAACAAACAGTGATAATACTTTACAGGAATGGCTGGCTGAAGTTATAAAAAGCAATAAAGGCATCAAACTGGATTTTAAGAGGTATTTGTACAAACATGTTCAGTCTCCTAGTTGTTATAAAATAACAATATGGAAAAAAAATCAGTAACTTCATATATCTGTGCCTGACTAAATAACTTTATACTTTATCTAAACTGAAAATGGAATTGCAAACTAATATGTTTCAGGAATGGACCAAAGACACACTGAGTTGTTTGCTAAAATTGTTTCTTGGGAACCCTTTAAGGCTAAACTTAAGTTAATTTTTATATAGGAAGTTATCTTAAGTGACCATTGTAATAGTAGAACGGTAAATTTAAAATACCACTTTCATTAAAAAGCAGTTCGAGAGAGAGATTTGGCAGTAGTTGGGGTAGTTAATGCGTTTCCTACTTGATTTGTGTTATTATATTTGTGGAAGGGGAATTATCTAGAACTCTTTAATAACTGAAGAGATTCTTAAAAATAATATTTTGGAAACATTGATAATGAAGACAGCAAGATTAAGTGTTGTTTCCTTCCCTGTGGCTATCACGGGAAATTTTACTTCTGTGGTATTTTGGCAGTATAAAAATTATAGGGAAAGCCAGGAATTTATTGTGACACCATAAAAGCTCACCATAAGGCCCATGAAAGCAACTGCTATGAAAATCTAGGATGTGTGGTAATCCTGCCTTATCTTTGAACAATATTTTAAAATTGAATTATCTCAAGAAATTAATAAGGATTTGGAGCTCTTAATCACAGGGTTTTTAAGATTACTCTAATCAGTTGTTGGGGGCCTGAGTGTACCAGTCAACCTCTTTACACTGTTGGTGAATGAAAGCTGTTTCAAGATCTTAAAGCTTTTAGAGGGGTGAATGGTCCAACTCCATTTTCTTGACAAAGAAACTTAGTCCTAGAGAGGTTAAGTGACAGTAGCTAAGCTTGAGAGCTGAGCTAGGACCAGATCCCAGGTTTCCTGGAGCCAGTCCAGTGTTCTCTGTACTGTGAAATAAAGCATTTAATCATTAGTGCTTGGTGAGCTGAATTTTAGAGCTCCTTGCCTTTTCATGTGCTCAGTTTTTGTTTTTTTTTTTGTTGTTCACTATTGCCCATAGACTTGCTCTCTGTAATATATTCTTTTTTTAAAAAATTTATTTATTTTATTTATTTTTGGCTGTGTTGGGCCTTTGTTGCTGCACACATACTTTCTCTAGTTGTGGTGAGCGGGGGCCACTCTTCCCTGCAGTGCACGGGCTTCTCATTGCGGTGGCTTCTCGTGTTGTGGAGCATTGGCTCTAGGTACACGGGCTTCGGTAGTTGCAGCACGTGGGCTCAGTAGTTGTGGTGCATGGGCTTAGTTGCTCCACGGCATGTGGAATCTTCCCGGACCAGGGCTCAAACCCATGTCCCCTGCATTGGCAGATGGATTCCCAACCACTGCGCCACCAGCGAAGCCCCGTGTAATGTATTCTTTGGCTCCTCACCAGTCAGACCAGCTCCTTCATTCCTAAATGCTAGCAGCTACCACTGAAAGGCTGTGCCATTAAACAAAGAGTTTTGGTCATAACATATTTGAAGGGGAATGAATTTAACTAACAATTATATAAGCACTTACTGTGTGTCAGACACTGTTCTAAGAGCATTAAATGTGTAAATTCATTTAGTCTTCATAACAATCCTAAGAAGTAGGTTATTCCTATTCTCATTTTCCAGATGAAGGAACAGAGGCAGAGGGGGTAAGTAGCCTCCTTGTGGTCACGTAATCGGTAGGAGAGCTGCCAGCCTGGCTGAAGAGTTCACACTCTGAACCGGAACTCTGCACTACGTCTGTAAGAGTAGCTGAATGACCTAATAGTCAAATTTTAATAATTCTTGTTTTGTGCCTCTGAGTTATTTTGTTTGTATACACGCAATAACTAAGTAATATACGATGATTTAAAATTTTTATCTGGAATTTTACCTTAGAATGTAATTTTAAATGGTTTATTATCATTTTAAGTATGATTTTTATTTTGTTAGCCCCAATTTCTAAACGACGTTAATAGGAAAATAGGTACTGAGAAGTTTGACTTACCAAGTAACTTTTTAGAAAAAAAATCTATTCTATAAGAGGTAAGTTTATATCTTCCCTGGAATTTCCTAAATAAGTACTACCAAAAAGAAATTTTAGGTAGTATACTGATCAGGACCCTCCTCTTCAAATGATTGTTTTGGCAAACCTTTTGTCAGTTCTTTATGGGAAACTTAATACTAATACATGTAAGGATTGAGAATGTTATCCACGGATATTTTTAATTAGAATTACATGGAATTTATAGATTAGTTGGGAATGAAGTGTAATTTTGCAATATTTATAATATTGAGTCTTCCAGGATGGGAACATAGTATGTCATTCTTTGTAGTAAACATTGTATCTTGCTCTTGGGCAAAGTTCATCCTCAGTCTTTTTTTTTTTTCCAAAAATGTTATGGCTTTTCCTCCACATTTACTCTTCCAGAGGAATTTTATTAATTATTTTGTAAAGCTCCAGAAAATTAAAACTACAACAAAAAGTTGTTTTCTTCTTAGTAAAGTTTTTTGGTTTCCTTAATATAGGTTTTGTTTTTCTTATTTAAGTTTCTGGTAAGGGAAAATGACATTACTATAGTCTATATTAGTGATAATTAAAATATTTACATCTAAAACAGAATATGTACATTAAATTCTTATTTCATTATGTTCTGTGTCTTAGCTCTGTATGTCTAACTGTGCAGTGTTTTGCATGTAGTAGACACTTAATACATGCTGGTGGAATTTCAGTTTGGGAGAGAATATGCTGAGACTAGATATTATCAGATGGTGAACCATTGTTAAACAGCCTGAGGTCAGCTTACTAAATTGAGAAAGCATAAGAAGCTTCCTCCTAAACGTAAACTGGAAATTAGTGTTTAACCCAACCTCCACAGACACCAGATTTCTTAAGAAATAAGAATCCTTTCTGGAAAAGGAGAGGAGACGTGCGTGGATTAGTTCAAGGTTACCTCCCACTCCACCCATGAAGAGCAGAGCCCCACGGGGACTTGGCTACTGCTGTGGGACTTGCAGACAAGCAAGCTTTAGAGTAATAGATACAAGTTGTTTGCTACTAAAAATGGGGGAATTTTGTAGGAAGTACAGCTGGCCATATCTCAGAATTGTGGTTTTTAACACGGCATTGATACCATTCAAGGCAGAAAGCATTTGAGACAGAGAAATGACAGCATCTAAATTAGAGTCTGTAAGGTCTAGCATTAGAGTTTATCAATCCACTAAAATCTAGGGCCTCCATTTCAGGGGCATAAGAGTGAGAAAAAAAGCAGTTTATTACATGGGAGCAGAGTGAAAGAGAGGCTGGTTTCCTCTGGTTTTAGTGAACAGTATCCTTGCTCACTAATAAATATGACCCTCTAAATAATGAAGTTATCAGTTTCTGCTCTTAAAGTAGGAGGCCCAAAAGGAGTGAGGTGAAGAGTGGTAGAAGCATAGGCAGAAGGACTCCAATCCATTAAGAAGAAAAATGGAGAGGTGAGGAGAGGTGCTGAATGTTCTCGCTTCCAGTATCCGTCTCCCAGATTCTTAGCCTCCCATCGCTGTATTCACTAAAAGCTAATTTTCTTAGAAATGAACATAGGCCTTAAAGGTTCAGAAGACATTCAGAATTATAAGTAGTGCAGCTTTCCAATAAAGTTTGTGTTTGTATTTTTAATCAGTAAAAATTATGTAGGCTGATTAAAATTTTGTTTCAAGATATATGTGTCCGTTAGAAAAGATGTAGGGAAGTAATAAGACTGAAGCTGCTTTTTAGTTTAAAAGTAACTAAAATATAGTTGCCTCTTGTTTCCAGGAAAGGTGTTTACAATAAAGGAAAAAATGAAGTTTATAAAAGTTCTAAGGAAATGTTATAATTTTACACTTGGCAATCATTTTTAGAAATGTTTTTATGTGTCCAGACTCACACAAGTATGCATGAAGGAAAAGAAGCCCTTTTCTCCAAGGTCATGAGCCAGTATTAGAGACATGGGGCCTGAGTGCACTTTGAGTGTTTTCATAGACTTGAATTTTCAGGTTATGAGTGTATTTAATTTTTAAATCTTATTTATACATTCTCTGATGAGTGAATGTTTGTGTCTTTTCGTAAATTGTTTTTATACTGAGTGATCCTAATACAGAGTTTTGAAACCTCTGTCTACATGTAGTGTCATTATTCATACATTTATAGACCCTTTTAGGTACCTTCATGAATAGTAAGTATAAATCAACATTTTAAGATATGGCACATGTTAGCTTTCCCCTCTAGTGCTATCTGCTCTGTGATTTTGTTTAATTCACGCATTATGGTATTATACTTTTATGATGAATTTGACAATATTAAAGCCAGCAGTCCAAAAGAACTTTTTACTTTTACTTTAGGAATATATGTCATTGACAACAAATTGTTTTTAGTCTGGCAGCTGTAGAACCATCCATGATGCTCTTGGAAAATGTGAAGAGGCATCTGAAGCGTCCAGTGTGGATGAATGCTGATATTCTTCCTGGTCCAAATGGAAATAGCAAAGTAGTGGATGCAAAACCTTTTATAGACACTGTGACATCCTTCTTTCCAGATGTGACATTTTCCCTAGGTTGGACAACAGGATGGCATCCTGAGAAAGTCAATGAAGGTGATAATTTTTTTAATGTATTCCTTTTTGGTCAAATTAAAATATACTCAAATATAAAAATAATACCTTTAATACAAAACCAAAAACACATTCTACAAAATCTAAGAGCCTAATGGAGAGAAAGGTCTGGCCCTAAATTTGTGTGTATGACTCTTCCTTCTGTTATTTCAGATAGATACTCATTCATTGGTGACATTCTGTCACCAAGCTTCCATGGAAAGTATTTATTTGCAAGGTCTAGAATAACCAAAGCTGCCTCTTTACATACACAAACGAATCCTGAATTGGTCTCTTTGAACTTGTAGAACATTCTATACTCTTTTCTTCTTTCCTTTTACTTTGGAGCAAACTCCCTATGTCAGATGAAAGATAGAGAAGTGGTAATTAAAACTTTTCAAGTAATGTGAGGCCAGAAGTCGGTGGGTGTGCGGTTGAACAGCACAGATTCTGTTCCCTAGACATTAGAAGGAGCTCCAAATGTAGGCTGCTGGAACCTTGGTGCCCTTAAGCTCTCTTTGGCTAGACAGCGGGTATGTGAGGCCATGAGACTCTCCTCTAGGCTGGATTTCTTCTTTCCCTTTATGTACTCTTACAGATGGACCTGATATTCAGCTTCTTTCTCCTGGCTGAAACTTATTATGCTATTTGGATTCATCTTTCTATTTATTCATACACTCCTAGGTAGTGATTTTCCAGTAAACAGCCATTAAGCAAACAGATGCTCTGGGACACCTGAACACATGGTAAAAATAATTAACCAAGAAGTTATTTAGAGCCAGTGGAGATGTTAGCCTTTATCTTGTGTTCAGGGCATTCTTTTTACTTATTTGCTACTATTGTTTTTAGATGTAAAGTTTTAAAATCTAACATGAGATTAGAGTAACTGCTATCTGGTGAGTAGTGACATTTAGTTTATAACCCCCTGGACCAACAACTGATATGATTGAGAAAAAAATAATATGCTTTAAATTTGTTCTATTTTAATTTTCTAATCATTTTAATTTTTATTAGTTTCAGTAAAGAATATTGCATATAATTCAGAGTGTTTAAAGAAGGTAAACTAGAAACAATGTAATAGCCTCCATACTGATTCTAATCTTTTAGTCACGGTTTAGTCTAACTCTGGCTTTAATCTCAGGCTTGAGCCGAGTTAAACCATATCTGGGTCTTTTGTTTGTGTTGAATGTTTCCAGGCTGCTTTTCCCCCACTGGCCTCTGGTCGTTACCAACGTGTGTTTTATCCTCCCTTACTTCTTCTGCTACAAAATTTAGAAAAGAGAGTTTATAAGTTTTTAAGTAATGTAAGTATAGCTTCTGTTAGCCACCCCTTTTTCTAATTAAAAAGATATAATTTTCCAGATTTTAAAGGAAAGCAGACCTTTCCCTTCTTTCATGAGGCATTTAGCTGCTAAACTAATGTATTCACATAGGCTTTTTGTAAATTGTTCCTTTATTGACCAGTACTTTTTACAACCTATGGATACTTTTAATAGAGTGTAGGGGCTATTTTTAAAATATAGATTTTTTTCTGAAGCTGTTTATAAACAGGCAGATATGTTTTCCACAATGTCTTAACATGATTTAAAACATAAAACACATATATAAAAGTCAATTTTAACACTATTTCTATTTTAGATAAAATGTGTAAGTAATTTGGACTAGACCCCCACCCCCCCCAAAAAATTAAAGTTAATTATTACTTAAATAGCTAGTAAATACTCTTTATTTCTCTCGGAAAAGAAAACTTAACAACAAGCAGAAGATCTAAGTTTATTGAGAATATTAATGATGCAGAGCCTTAGAATCTTTAAAGTAAATATAATGTCAGAATTTCCTTTTTTGTACTTGAGAGATTAATAAATTCCTTTCTGATGTTTTAATTTTTTTTTTTTTTTGCGGTACGCGGGCCTCTCACTGTTGTGGCCTCTCCCGTTGCGGAGCACAGGCTCTGGACGCGCAGGCCCAGCGGCCATGGCTCACGGGCCCAGCCGCTCCACGGCACGTGGGATCTTTCCAGAGCAGGGCACGAACCCGTGTCCCCTGCATCGGCAGGCGGACTGTCAACCACTGCGCCACCAGGGAAGCCCTGTTTTAATTTTTTGTTTATTGCTCTAGGTCACTTGTGACATGACTTAGATTTAATTTTTTGTCTACATTTTCCACTCAAAATTTTTTCTTGCATTAAGTTGTATTTTAATTTCTCTGAATCCAAATGGAAATGTTTATGAATTACCTATGAATTTACCTATTCATATGTAATTGAGTTTTTTACTTAATTGACTTGTAGGACTTTGGTTAGAAAAGTTAAATATCTTTCTTCTCATTTCAGGTTACAGTTGGATAATGGTGAAAGAGATGGAATATATATGTAATGAACTAAGTCAGCTTGTAACATTTCCTGTCAGAGCAGCATTAGTCAGGCAGTCTTGTTCTCAGTTACTTTGGCTGTTAAAGCAATCAAACAGGTACGTGTAAGTTTTACAATATAGTGTGTGCATGTGAGTGTATGTGAGAGACAGAAAGAAGATGAAAACTGATTATGTAAAGACAACGTGTGTGAGAGAAAGAGACAGAGAATGAACACTGATTCTGTAAGTGCTCGGAGTTCCTCACTGGAATGAAGATCCTTGATGAACCTTAACATCATGTCTTTCACCTCTGTTACTCACAAAAGCTTTTGCACATAGTAGGTGCCCAGTAAATGTCATTTTTTTCATTATGTTATACATTCATAAAAAGTTATAAGTGGATAAAATAATTTCCCTTTGAATTCTGTCATAATTCCAGAAGTCTTTCCCAAATAAAAATTTTATTTATTTATTATTTTTTTAATTATTATTATTTTTTTTTTGGCCACGCGGCTTGTGGGATCTTAGTTCCCTGACCAGGGATTGAACCTGGACCCTCAGCAGTGAAAGCACCAAGGCCTTACCACTGGACCGCCAGGGAATTCCCCAAATTTTATTATTTTAATATGTAATAAAAATTGGTTGAACCATATATTAAATATTATAAAGCTACAGATATTGAAATAGTTTTGATACTGTCTTTTCAGTAGACTAGTCAGTAGAACAGCCGGGAATGTCCAGAAATAAACCCAACTCTATCATGGAACTTAGAACAGGAAAAAGCTGGTATTTCAGATCATTGGAGCAAAAGTTCAATAACTTGTGTTGGGACAACAGGCCAACATTGTAGGAAAAACAAAGTTAACATCTTACCTTAATCCTTCCTCCAAAATAAACTCCAGATGAATTAAAGACTTGAACAACAAACATTAAATGCATAAAAAACCCACAAGTGATGATTCTTTTTTTATATAGTTTCAGAATGGAGAAGACCCTTCTTAGTAAGGCACAAAACCCAGAAGCTATAAAAGGAAAGTTTGATACATTTGAATACATAAAAATAGGTTCTGGTAAAACCATCCTCAACACATATGTCAAATACTTGTAAAGAATTCTGACAAATAAAGAATGATCACAAATCATCCATAAAAAGACCCTGTTTGATAATTCACTCTATTGTAAGGAAGCATATACTCAAACATTAAAGAAGTATCCACATTCCTGTGGGTATTGAGTTTTTACTAAATGCTTTTTTCAGTTTCTATGAAAATAACTGTATTTTCTCCCTTTATCTATTAATAAAATAAATTTTATTAATATCTTATGTATTGAACCGTCCACACATTTACAGAATAAACCCCCCTTGATCAGAATTTATCATTCTTTTAATGTACTGCTGAATTTTATTGCTAATATTTTAGTTAGGATTTCAGCATTTGAAAGTGAGATTGGTCTGTAGTTTTTTTTCTTTCTCAGTTTTAGGTATCAATATCATGGATATTTCATTAAAAAACTAGGGACCTTTCTTTCTTTTTACATTTTCTGGGATGTTAAAAGTAACATTCAAATGAAGCCTGTACCTGAGTTTTCATAAACTCAACATTGAAACCATCTAAACCTGGTGCTTTGGGGAAAGCTTAACTTATACAGTCTTTTCTATTTCTTACATGGTAAATGGTTGATTTCCGGTTTGGTAGCCAATTTTGATATATTGCATTTTCCTAAAAAATTGTTTATCTCACCCAAGTTTTAAGATTTATTTACACACAGATGATTAAAATATTTTTCTTTTGGTTTCTTCTGTGTATCTAAAATAATTTCATTATTTTGTTTATCTGAGTTTTCTCCCTTGTGTCTTGATTAAACTAGAAAATGATTTATCTCTCTTTTTTTGAAAATGAACTCTTGGATTATGTATTTTTCTGGTTTATGATTTACTAATTTCTGCTTTTTATCTTTTAAAATTCTTTTCATGTAGTTTCTTCTAATTTCTTGAGTTAGATGCTTATTTTCATTTTTAATATTTATTAATATATTTATTAACATAAATATTTAAGACTATACCTTTTTCTCTGACCACTGCTGTAGCTGTATCTTATTGTTTCTTATGTGTAGGTTTTCATCACTGTTAATTTCTAAATATTCTGCAATTGTGGTTTTTTTCTCCTTTGTCTCAAAAGTTGTTTTAAGAGAAAATTTTTTAGGCACTGAGGTAGTAGAATTATTTTATTTTGGATTGGTTAATAGTTTTCTAGTTTTATTGTATAGTAATCAGATAATGTCTATATTATTTCTACTTTGTAGACTTTATTAAGGTTTTATTAATGGTTTGATATATGGATATTTATATGAGTTCATGTATTTTATGAGGATATAGTTTGGCTGTTATAACAGAAACCTAAATTAACAATAGCTTAAACTTGTTTGTTTCTGTCTCACATAACTGGAAAAGCATAAATAGGCCAGGGCAGATTTGATGCCTTCACAGTGTTGGGGACCCAAAATCCTTCTGTCTTGGTACTTGTTTTCCTTAGGATATTGACCTCATCTATATGGTCAGATTGATTACTGCCATGTCTGAGTTTCAGTTGGTAGGATGGAGGGAAAAAGAGGCTCAGGGCCTGTCCCTGTTCTTCAAGGGCACTGGACACACTCATTGGCTTTAACTTAGTTGTATGCCTATACCTAGCTGCAGGGGAAGCTGGGACATGTAGCTATTATTCTGTATAGTCTTATGCCTAGTTAGAATTCAGGGGATTGCTATAAGACAGAAAGGAGACTGGATATTAGAATAAAACTACTGTGACAGGTTAATAACATACATTATTAGTTAAGTTATTTAAGTCTTTCATGCCTTACTCTTTGCTTTTAAAAATATTTTTAATGTAATTCTTTGAATAAGTAATATAATCACAAGGTTTAAAAACCAATGAACAGAGTTATACTGTGAAAAGCCTTTCTCCCATTCACTCAGTCCTGCCCAGCCTCACTAAGCACAGTTGTCAGTTTCTTGTTCAACCACATTAGTAGTTTCTTTATGCATATAAAAGTGAATACAAGTATAGATTCTTATTTTCCCCTCCTTTTTAAAACAAAAGGTATCATATTATATACCTTGCTTCTGTTCTGTTCTTTGCTTTTTTTTTTTTTTTAAGTTAGCAATACATCTTGGAGCTTTTTTCAAGGTTCCTCATTTTCCTTTTCTAGGTGCATCGTATTTATGTATGTACTATAATTTATCTAACCAGCCTCCCTATTGATGAACATAAAGGATGTTTTTAATCTTTGGTATTACAAACAATGCTATAATGAATAACCTTATGAGTGTTCCATTTTGCATGTGTGCAAATATTTGGCATCTTTAATTTTTTGGCTACTTGCTCTCTTATGGACTAAGAGAGTTAAAGTCTCCAACTATTAAAGTGTTTTTGTCTGCTTCCTCTTCTACCTTTATAATTTTTGCTTATTAGATGCTCATGATATGTTATTTGGGGCATATTCATATAGGTTTTATTATCTTCATGAAGAATTATACCTTATTATTAAAAGTTCTCCTTCTTGGTCTTATTTAATGATATTTTTTACCTAAATTCACATTGTCTTTCTTTTTGTTTGGCTTGAATAACTTTGCTTTATCTTTTCTTTGAAAAATAAATTTATAAAGTTTTATTTTTCATTGAATGTTTTAAGGCTGATTTATTGTCATTAAAAAAATAATTTTAAGCATACAGAAAAGTTGCATAAAACTACTACATCTCCTTTACCCAGATTCCCAAATTGTTTAACCATTCTCTCTCCCTCCATCCCTCTCTCTCCCCACACCTCTCTTTCTCTCTTTTTTCTATGTTTTTTTTTTTTCTATCATGATGCCTCATATCCTTAAGTACTGCAGTGTACACTTCCCCACACAAGGATGCACTCCTGTATTTCTAGTATGCAACCTTCCAACCAGGAAATCAGCATTGAGGCGACACTGCCATGCAGTCTGCAGACCCCATTCAAATTTATCAACCATTCCAGCAATCCTTCTTATTTTCTTGTGGTCCAAGAAACTCTCCAGGAACATGCATTGCATTTAGTTTGCATCAGTCTCCTTCAAAATAGTTAGTTCCTCAGTTTTTCCCTTCCTCTCGTACACATGACAGTCTTCAAGACTACAGGCCTTTTATTATGAAAAATGTCCACAGTCTCGGTCAGTTCAATATTTCCTCATGACAGACCTCAGGTCTTGCATTCTTGGCAAGCTCATGACGTACTTGTCCCAGTTCTCAAATCAGTCACTTCTTCAAGGATCCCTGCTTGATTATAGCAGCAGGTGGTATTTAGAAAGCAAAATCTGGGATTTTAGTATAATCATTGCTCCTAGGGTGTCAGTGCTTCCAGGACCTCTTAATGGACAGAGCTGGAAAATATATGTGTATGTATATGTGTAGTTATGGTCTGTGTATGTATATATGTATGTATATAAAAACACACCTATATAGACTTACATACATAAACATTTCTGTGTGTGTGTGTGTGTGTGTGTGTGTGTGTGCGTGTGTTTAACCAACCCATGAGTTCATACTGATATTTCCAATTTCAACCCCAACCCCAGAGGGTTCTTTCTAGCCTTCTTTCTTTCCATGTTGTTAAATTCTTTATCAGATGCCTAGATACCTAGCTCTCATTAATCTAATCTAACAGCCTTTCTTTTAAAAGAATAGTTTAACTTATTTACATTTATTTATAACACAGATATGTTTGGTCTTGTTTCTGTCATTTAAAAGAAAAACTAGCATATTTGCTATTTCTGTAGCTTTAAAAAGCATTTCACTGTAGCTATTTTCTTTCTTTTGTATTTTTAATTCTGAATATTTGGTAAGTTAGTTTTTTTTTCCTATTGGTTATTTCTTACTGCTACTTTATAAAATATGCTTAATCTACTTCTTTACAAGTGCCCGTTAACTTCCATGAGCAATAATAAAATTAGTATATTTCTTCACCCCCTCTCACCTAATTTGAGTTGACTGTATGCTCTTTTTTTTTTTTTTTTTTTTTTTTTT